TTCTTAAATTTTTTTGCTTTTTATGGCTTCATCTATCGTCTGATCCTTCCTGTTTTTGGTGTGTCTCTATGCTTCCTTATGTATTAATATGGTATTATTCAAGTGGATCATGGAAGGATTCTAGACCCTTGAATGCAATCTGCATTTATTTGATGATTTCTTTTTTTGTGTTCTGCTTATCAGTAATTCAAATTTGGAATTGAATTCTTGGAATAATGCTGGATTTAACTGGTGCAGGGTTCTGTTTGACCATAAGATTAGTTTATGAGAGTGGGAATGGGTTGAGAGTGAGAGTGGGATTTGAATATGACAGATCGACAGAAAAAAAAAAATGCTATCTGGAACTGAATTTCACCGCTTAGAGTTCAACTTTAAAAAATAGTTTAATTTAGAAACTTTGTTTATTTGGATTGCCCATGTGATGTAAGGGGTGTAAATCAATTAGGAGTAGGGAGTATTGAACTCTAGAATGGAAGCTCTATTCAGGGAGAAGTTGCCACTGAGTCAAAGGTTCTAGGCTTATCTTTACTGACTCAACGTTGATGAAAGCGAGTTGATTACTATTATTAGCTTCAATTTACTCATGGCATTGCCTTCTTGTGTAAAGGAGAAGTGCTTACTATACTTGTACTTTTTTGGTCATGTTAATCTGCAGTCTGAGGAATATAAGGGGAGTTATTCCATTTTACGGAATTTAAAAGAGTTACAGCACAGAATCAACCAAATTCTGCTTTATGTGGGGCAAGCTGGCGTATAAGTTGGAGACTATAGTTTCTTTGAATAGGATAAGTATCTTTGGCAGGCAAGGAAAAGTGAAGGAACTGCATATATACTACTAAATTATCTGTATCAAAATAATGGTACATCTGGTTCTATAGATTGCAGCTTTGTAGCCTCCATGACAGAAGAGTGAATTCTGTTTAATTACAGTTCGAGAAAAGGAGGAGGATTAAGTGTATTGCTTTAACTAGAGGTATAGGTGTATGTTCTAAGGAAGCTACAGAAATTTGTTGATGGTAAAAGAGAATTAAGATACTCCATCAGGCAAGAAGAGAAATACTACCAATTAGTATGAGATGCGAGACCTATGTTCGATATAGATGCACAATTAAGGCTTAGTATCCAATAAAGAAGATGTGGGATCATTGACTTAATTGTTCTGATGTAATTTATCAATATTGCATTGACGCCAGCAGCTCTGTTGCTTAATTGCTGAACATTTAAAACAAACCTTTGGAGTTATAGTGAGTAGGAGAATATGAGGCTTTATTTATTTAGTTGTTGCACTGTAACTCATAGACTTTTAATTCTACTTTCAATCTCTTGTTACATGGAACTAGGTATTTATTCTCTTGGACCAAAAATTCAACTTTTTCTAGTGATGATTGTTCCTTTGATTCTACTTTCAATTTCTTGTTACATGGAACTAGGTATTTATTCTCTTGGACCAAAGATTCAACTTTTTCTAAGGATGGTCATTTCTTTAACTGATCATCTCACCTGATTTGCCAAACAATTATTTTCATTGAGAAGCTGGAAAAAAGGATGCCGAACAGAGTTGAAGGGTAGATGTTTGGTTTAAACTTCCCATTGTATTAACATCTATTAGTTACCATATCAAACTGTCAAAAACGTCTGACTGATTCTTACCAAATAGGATAAATCAAGGAAGGTGATAATCATGTCGTTGGCTGCTGGATTAATAATGGTACAAGTGAACCACGAAAAGCAAATTACTTTCTTTCCACATGATAGTACATTTAAAAAAAAAGTGTCTGCATATAATTAAATAGGCACTTGCTTGATTCTTCAAATTTGGGGAATGATTGGCGTTAAGTGCAGTCAATGTGTCAGGATCTCCACAGATAATGCAACAGAGGAAGACGAAAAACCGAGATTATGAAAGAGGAAAATGAACAAGCAGAAGGAATAGGCAATTGATTCATCAGAAAACTGGTTGGGGTATTTAGTGTAGCAAGAGGGTGAGAGCCTGAAATTAGTTATGAACATTCTCTTTTTACTTATTTCCTTTATTTCTGCTACATGTGGTTGTAAATCAATTTTTTCTCCTTTTTGATCCTGTTGTGCTACAACCGTAATCACGAGATTGATGAGCACAAATGGAGGGTATCCAATTTCTCGTAAAAGTTTTTGGATATTCACGAAATTCATTGAATGAATCAGCAATTCTCTTATTTCTCTGCTTTCAATTCCTTCTTTTCGCTTCTCAAGTTCTGAAAATTCTGTCTTTTCTCTTTCTTAATTTGAACCTAATAAGTGTAATGGATCTAGGATCCTGACAAAGTGGTTTCCGAGTCATTGATTCTCGGCAAGTCTTCTCCTCTCATTTTTTCCTGTTCTTAGTTCTCTCTAGTTTTACTTGGTAAAAATTTCTTTCTTCTTTTCTTCCCTGTCTTTGTGAATCTACTTTATTTCCACTAAACTCAGAAACAGAAACTTCAAGAATTCAGGATTATTCTATGCAAACCAAAGAGAACAAAGAACTCTGGTGGCAAAAGCAAAAAGCTGCTCTACAAGCGTGTTTCTGTTGGTTGGAACAGATATTGGACAAGCTTGGAACATATTGCACGACAATGATTCTCTCCTACCTCTCCTGCTTCACCAAAAAAGATAACTCCATCGACTTGGTTTGGAGAAACTTCTTCAAAAATGGCTTCTCCTTCCTCAACAAATTCCAGTAAAGTGGATTTCCTTTTGTCTTCCACAGCAAGTCAAAATGATATCTTTTCTTCAACGTCACTATCATTTAGCAAAGAGAGAGAAGCTGATACATTTATGCGGCACCAGGGTGCTGGAAATTTCTGCTTCAGAAGGATTAAATGAAATCATTACACGATCCCGGGAGCAATGCCAACTTGAGTTCATTTTGATTTGAGTAGTTTTACATAGAAAATTGACTGAGAAGCATGAAGAGACAAATAAAGAGTTGTGCATGAAACTGAGGGATACTGCTGGAATGGAAAATGGCAAAAACTTTGAATGAGATTTTGAGGAGTTTTATTCGACTGGGGAAAAGTTTGATGGGTCAACTGAGCATTCGAAGTTTGTTAAAAATGGTAGATGCTTGAATGAACATCAACTATTTGGAAAAATTCCTCTTACCAAGTTATTAGTTTGAGAATTATGTTAAGAGGCTAAGTTTGGTTGTGGAAAGTAATAAGTATTTCGGGACTCAATTAGTCTTTGTATATAATATCTAACATTATGAATTGATGTTTGGAAACATGTGACATTCCACCCACATAAACAACTAAAAAAGTACTGCGTTAGGGCG